CCCGGGGGGGGGGGGGGGCCTTGACAACAGGAGCCAGAACCGCTGACAGCAGGTCAGATTCGTTTTCCTGTAAGTACTGTACAACTGTACACGATCTGTAAGGATCACATACCGCAGACTACTACAGACCCACATTGGTAAGACGCATTCGCGTTTCGAATTCAATTTAAAACATAATGTTACAAAATTTTTTGGCATAATTTCTTAATTAGTGATTCCGATAAATTTATAATTTGATTACATATAGAATGATAGATTAATAGACTGAATGTGAATTAGCTGCTCTCGTTATGTCTACTATTCACGTCTCCCTGACAACATCAAACGTCTTAAAGTGTTACAACTCACTCACTGCTTTCTTTTCCAAATCAACCTCACGTGACATCAGTGTTTATGATGTGTGGAGAAAACGACTACAAAAAATCAAATGGACACCCAGGCCAGGTCGTGTTGCACATCACACTGGTCAGCTTTGATCTCAACACTTCCAGCAAGTGGACACGTGAACTTCGTCCAGCATCTGACGTCCCAACAACACTGCACTCTCGGCTTTACATGGGCTCATGACAGGATCAAAGGATTCGCACCTGGACCCCTGTCTGGGTTTTCTTGATCTCTTCCCCCCCCCCCACCTCCTTGACCTGTGCTCATGGCTTGTTTTTTTTTTTTCTTCTGAATTCAAGCATTTCCTTTCAAATATCAAATGAGTTTAGATTCTTTTCGCTTTCCTGATGACAGTCCACATGACCTGTGCCCATGGCTTTTTTTTTTTTTTTCTTCTGAATTCAAGCATTTCCTATCAAATATCAAATGAGTTTAGATTCTTGTCGCTTTCCTGATGACAGTCCACTGCTGCATGGTCCATGTGATACGTATTAAAGCAGCCATTAAAACCAGGGGCGGGTTGGGTTGTGGGGGGGGGGTGGGTAGTAAGCGTAATTTCACGATTTTGGAGGATTTAATATTTCTGTTTTTCAGAGATACACCTTCGGCTGCTTTACGACTACAGCACTGGAAAAACAAAATATGAGATCATTTTTCTGTCAGATCTATTTACTAAAAGGGGGGAGGGGGCGGTAATTTTAAGGCTTTCAAATTTAAACTGATATGTAACACACTAATGACAATGCTGGAGGCAGACACCCAAAGTATGGGATGCAACTGGAAGCACAGGACAGTGATAAATGGACCATTCTTGCAATTCTTGTAGACGGGTTATGCCCCAGGTGGAGCACAAGGCATAAGTAAATAAGTAATGTAGACAATGCTACTTAGAATAAACGAAAAACGCATATCCCATTTGCGTGTAACGGGTTTGTAGTTTAGCTATTTGAAAAACGCTCTATTTTACAAACTGTCGTCCCGCGGTATGCACTGAAAAATGTTCTCATCTTGTCCAGCAGGTCTCAATCCTGTGCTCCCGGGGGCCCACACACCCGACCGTACAATTCTATACGGTGATCTAACCACCACATCGTGGTAATTGTCAACTTTCCTCTCACTTGCCTGTGTTGTTGGATGTGACATCTGTCTGACCACCCCCTTCACATTTCTAATGTGAACACGCCACAATCTCATCAAATCTCCACAACAACCCCCTCCCTTCCAGACCTCGCTCTCTGATCTCTGCCGGGATCACATTTGGTCCACGAGTGCGACCCCCAAGGTTAATGCACTGAAATTCATCTACTCGGTGTTGACCGAGGACTTAACGAGGCAGCCTCGGAGCAAGAGAGCGGTGGGTAGGGCAGCAGAGTGATTTCGTCTTACCCCGAGGTATCCCCCTACGAGAAAACCAAACATTGGCATTTTACTTAAATGTTAGACCTCCGCGGAAGTGCTGTCAAACTTTGCGAGAATGTTGAGCGTTTGTTCGGGCTTTGAGTAGCAAATACCCGTCTTATTGGGGCATTCGGTGTAAATACTTCATTTATCTGGCCCTCATTCTCGGCTGGCGTGAATTGACATAACCTGATGGCTGATGTTGCTCTGCTCGTGACGTTTGTCCAACAGTTTTATTGAGGAACCGGAGAGATCTGAACTCAATTAAAAGAGTTTCTTACGAGCACTTTGGAGCATGGCAAAAATCATTGTGAAAAGTTGAAGCTAATTGGACATCTTGAATGCGTCGTCTGTATTACTGACAAACATTTCCCTCGCTTCCCTCCTTCCCTTCCTCGTTCGCTCCCTCTCTCTCTCCCTAAATCCCTCCCTCCTTCCATCCTCCTTTCCCCCATTTCATCCATCCTTATTTCCCTCATTCGCCCCTTCCATCATTCCCTTCTTACCTCTCTCCTTCACTCCCTCCTTTTTTAAAAAAAAAATCAGGTAGGCAACTCTAATAACCAAATGGTTCATTATATTCTTGATCTTTGCATTGTCCGTAACTGTTTTTTTTTATTTTTATTCATTTGAATTTTAACTACTGATTCATCAGGTCATTCGTGTAATCTCTAAACAAATGTATTGGTTCAAATGCCCAACAAAGCGAAACTAAATAACTAATATCAATTCTCTTTCAGGTTGATAATTTGGTTAAGAAATAAGTTGATTTCTTGTAAAACCAACTTCATTTTTAGCTAGGTTAGCTTATAATTTTTTTTTTTTTTTTTTTTTTTTTTTTTTTTTTTTTTTTTTTTTTTTTGTTTTTTTTTTTTTTTTTTTTTTATTTTTTTTTTTTTTTTTTTTTTTTTTTTTTTTTTTTTTTTTTTTTTTTTTTTTTTTTTTTTTTTTTTTTTTTTTTTTTTTTTTTTGTTAATTCTTTAATCTTGGAAATCGTTTACATTTAATAAAGGAAATTGTGCAATTTGTTTTTACTCTTCATTGAAAAAAAAAAAATTTAAATGTAAATGATTATTAGTAACAAGATTTAGTGACAAGATTTGGTGACAAGATTTAGTGACAAGATTTAGTGACACGATTTAGTAACAAGATTTGGTGACAAGATTTAGTGACAAGATTTAGTGACACGATTTAGTGACAAGATTTAGTGACAAGATTTAGTGACACGATTTAGTGACACGATTTAGTGACACGATTTAGTGACAAGATTTAGTGACACGATTTAGTGACACGATTTAGTGACACGATTTAGTGACAAGATTTAGTGACACGATTTAGTGACAAGATTTAGTGACACGATTTAGTGACACGATTTAGTGACAAGATTTAGTGACACGATTTAGTGACAAGATTTAGTGACACGATTTAGTGACACGATTTAGTGACACGATTTAGTGACACGATTTAGTGACAAGATTTAGTGACAAGATTTAGTGACACGATTTAGTGACACGATTTAGTGACAAGATTTAGTGACACGATTTAGTGACACGATTTAGTGACAAGATTTAGTGACAAGATTTAGTGACAAGATTTAGTGACAAGATTTTTTAGGGATAAATAACGTCTACAAAATGGCAGCTGTTGAAATTACACGCCTAAATGATTTATAGATTGTTTCAGTGATACTCCAATGTGGAATCTTTTCAGATGATTAGTGCTATCGTATTGAGTTGCTTTAAATATACTTTTTTTTAAAAAATATTTATAGCAAACGTTTGACAAACAAATAAATTTGCAGGTGCTCTTCTTCCACATATCCTAGTAAGGCTCTAATGTTCTCAAAATAACTTGTGTTCTTTTGTGTAAAAAACGACCATGAATAAGTTTGACTGAACTATAGTTTTCGGTCATTTTTCTTCTTTCGTGAGAAATGCTGATGTGTTCAACATTTTTTTTCATAATTCTACTCTCGTACCGAATGAACTCCCCAAACAATTATGTTTAACAAATGAAACAAACGCCCCGCCATTAACTCCCATCCCCCCCCTCTCAGCCTTTAACCTCGAGCGGAACAGAGTGATTGCCTCACGTTGGACAATGACGCCACAGTGGCGTACCCCGAAAACGAATCTCTTCCGATTGTGGCACGTTCCCAGCCTGCCCTGCCGCTCACGAGGTACACCATTTGTTTATTGGCCCCCCTAATCCGATTAGTGGTTGAGTCGGCCGGGGCCCCTTTACACTCTGATTTACGAGGAATTAACGTTTCCGGACTGTGGTGGTTAGTCGGCCCTCCTGTGCACCGAGCAGAGAAAGCTGTAAGATTGGCCAGACAGAAACAAGTGGAGGCGTGTGAAAATGTTTATTTACTGGAGTAATGAACCTTCCCTAACATTTTACAGAGTTTTTCTTTTGTTGTTTTTTTATTTTTG